ATTTTAAGATGGATCAGTATAGTTTGTAAAAAGAAGTGAGTGGGAAATTTAGTTTTTCTAGTTTTCAGTAGTCTCAGTTTTTATGTTATGTAATAGGAAATATTGTATGGAGGAATAGTGTTAATGTTATTGTGACTAATATGATAACATGGAAATGTCTTGGAAAATTTTGTTGAGATTTCCTGTGGCTTTCAGATGTATTTATACAAATAGAGTTTTGTATGGGACCTAAAAATCTCTATGATATCAATTTGCACTAGTAAGAGACATTTCCAAATGTCAGTGATATTTGACTTCAAATAATAATGAATCATTTTTGTTGAGTATGCTTTCAGTTTAGAGGCTGTTAGCAGTGGCATGTCAAGCCTGTGATCATGAGCTTGGTTATTAGGACACTTTCATTATAGAACTATTTATTTTAAAACATAGCACAGTGAAAATGATGTTCAAGCCCCAATACTTTTTAGAGCATCTCTGTGTAAGCCATTGAGCAGCTTATGGGAAATTTTGTTATGTGCGTATAAAACAAGCATAATGTATAATTGCAGTGCTTTAAATTTTAGGCCTTGATTTATAAAGACCTCATCTGCATAGCCTGAATATATAGATTTATATGCACTCAGAAACATATCCTATGTTTACATAAAATATTAGCATTAATTTATAAGAAAATTTTTGAGTTGCTGAAGACTTTTATGATTACTTAGGTATATAATGATGAAGGTAAATATTATTTTCTGTCATAATATTTGAATACAGATTATTATATTTTAGGAATAATTCAAACAGAAACATTTATTTAATATACTGAGAATTCTAGACTGTGCTTATTTGGCTGATATGGAGTGTATTATGATATTTTTATAAATTCCATTTTGGAAGATCCTTTGGATTTGCAAATGTTTTCTATCATGTATTTTACAGGCAAGGATTCTGTCATTGAAGCACTCATGCGACTATTGTCATATTTTTGGAGATATATTTTTATGGATAAAAGTATTGGTTGAACATGAAGTAAGCATTTTAGTGAGTTCAGTTTAAAGAGTGGGTTTTGTTTATTTGCTTCATTTTTGGTTGTGGAAAGATTTGTAAAGTTACTTATCAGAGTATATACAACACTAACATTCATATTTTCAAAACTGTAAATTTATATTTCTCCAGTTTGACTGTCTTATCATTAAACATGCTACCTGTGTTCAGTTGTTGAGTGATTTGCAGAGCTGTAGAGCCTATGATGGCTATACGAATCATACATGAGTTTCTTATGTAACTAGCTTCCAAGATTTGTAGAAACACTTTTTTCACACACTATTTTAATATTATACTACAGGTAAAATGTCCTTTATGTGTAGAAGTATTAACCCCTATGATTAATTTTTTCATTTAAAATGTGTGGGAAAGTTTATCTTCTAGTATGAGATTTATACAAATACTATCTTTGTATATGTGTGAAATTTTCTATTTTGTTAAGATGGTGAAGAAACTTTTGTATGTTTAGAAGCACCAGAAATGAGTAGAATTTTTAGACACTTTAGTCAATTTGTATGTTTTATCTCCCCCCTTAAGAGAAACTGCTGATTTACATATATTAGTGCAAACATTTGCTTATATTTTTACATGTGTAAAGTGCTTTTTGGTGGATAGGTATGTGGAAAGAAATGATGTTTAGTCTCATGTCCTCCATGGGTAATCCTCTTGATTTATTTCTGTTTCTGTTTTGTAGAGATGGTGGCCATGCATATTTTAACATCACTTGTTAAATCAGTCGAAACATTGAGCATGATTTTAAGAGTATAAATAGATTGAGCTCACTGGTGATCCTTAAGACACATTTATAGACATTTTTCAGTTGCATCTCACATTTTTAAATATATTTGGATTGCTTACCAACAGAAGGTTTGAAAGCAAATATTTTTTCTCTGCTACCTTTTTATTTATTAGACCTTTGTTGTTACTTTATTGTATTGGTGCTGTTGTGAAAGATAAAATGCACATTTCATTAACGCAATCTTTAAACTTAAATGATATTTGTATGTATATTTTCATATTATTAAAATAGAGTTACCGAGTGCTGGTGGGTCATGCCTGCTATCCCATCTAATTCGCAGGCTAAGAATTGAGAGTTGTGGTTTGAAGCCAGCCAAAAAGAAAGTCTATTAAACTCTCATCTCCAATTAATCAGCTAGAAAAGTTAGAAGTGGAGCTGTGGCTCAAGTGGTAGAGCACTAGCCTTAAGCAAAAAGTTCAGGGACAGCACCTATGCCCTGAGTTCAAGCCTTAGGACTGGCCCACAAAAATAGAAATAATAATTTTTGTTTCAGTTTTAGTTATAAGTAAATCTCTTTACATCTTTGTAAAGACGCACGTATGTAAGAGATGTGCAATTATATTTCCTTCCTAGACACTAATGCTCATGATAAATTTCATTTTCTTTAATGTCTCTAATGTGTCTAAAGAGTCTCTATATTGCCATATTTTGTGTTCATCCATTACTTGGCAAAAACTAATATAACCTTGTAAATAATGGGATAATTAATTTTTAAAAGTTATACATCTAGTAAATTTAAGTGTCTCAAAGTAAAATTTTGTAAATATATATTTTTAATATTGTTGTCTTCTGCAATTAAGGTGGCACTTACTAATCATTGATAAATAGGCTCATGAAGCTGTACAAAATTTATGTCCTGGATGATAGAGGAGAAATCACAATACAATGAGCATTTACCTCATTTCCATAGAATAGTTGGCCATTTTCCCAAGTAAGCATTGTATATTCAAAAAGATTAAACAAAAATGACAGGTAAATTTATTGGACATTTGGCCATTATGTATTTCCAACTTTCCAAGATACTTCTTTTTTGTCCTCATTACTGTAAGCTTTTAAAATATAAATGATTACATTATGAGATTTTGTACTACCTCTTGGAACAATACAAAGTGCTGTATGTGTTCCCTTGGTTGCATGACAATATTCAAGACAACTTTGTAAATAATAGTCAAATACAAAAGTTTAATTTTGACATCTAGTTTTTCTAGATGGTACAGAGTCTCACAGAGTATAATTTTATAAAGAAGTCATTGTGAAATTTTATGATTTTATTGTTTCTTTGATTTCTTAGTATGAATTAGATGAGGTTGTATGTTTATGAAAACATGTATTTTATCCATTCATTGGATTTTCAGGAAAATCAGAAATTTTAAGAGGTATAAGTTTTCAAGTTTGCATTCTCACCCAAAGCAAAGGATTATATTTTAGCCATAGATTAGTGTGCATTTTATTGTATATTTAAAGCCATAATCATGATTTGGTAGTTTTATTGATGATATAGCATTATATATAGTTTTATAATCATTGTAAGAAATATTTTTAAAGAAAAACTTCTTTCTACCTCTTTGAATTAATACTATATATACTTGGGCTGCATGACAACATTCAAGACAAGTTTGTAAATAACCAATACTTCTGATACTTAAAAAAATCTAGTTTTTACAAATGCACAGAATCCTAAAGTATAAATTTGTAACTTTCCATTGTCAAAAGTCATAGTTAAGGATGGGTTCTGGTGGCTCACACCTGTAATCATAGCAAATAAGGAGGCTTAGATCTGAGGATTGTGGTTTGAAGCCAGCCTCTCCAATTGATCACCAAAAAGCCAGAAGTGGGGTTGTAGCTCAAGTGATAGAGCACTAGCCTTGAGCAAAAAAGTTCAGGGACAGCACCCAGGCCTTGAGTTCAAGCCCAGGACTGGCACAAAACAAATACTTACGATGAGTCCTGCAAATGCTTTTTACAAAACAGTAGTGATTAATAATTGGTTTCTTATCCCTGTCACGGTTTGGTGTTTTATTTTTTGGGAGAGATTTGTTTAGATATTCTACTTGATTAAATTTTTCATAAGAAAAATAACAAAAAACCAAAAAGCATGAAATATATTTTTATATTTAGAAATAAGAAGGCTATGGGGAAGAAGTTACTGAAAGATTTAGAATTAGATCACTAAAATCATTGTTATTTTTGCTATGCTGTATTAACTCTTGCTAAAGTCATTATTACTTAAGAATGCTGTAGTTACCTTTTGCACTCTTGTCTACCACAATCCTACTACATATGCCTTCCACATAGCTGGGATTTTAGGTGTGTGCCACCAAACATAGCTTGTTGAGATGGTATCTAGTTCACTAGCTATTGTTCAGAGTGGTATTTCATGGAAATACTGTTGATTTCCTTCTAAGTATCTCAAGTAGCCGAGATTGGTAGCATGCTCTACTTTGCAGCATTAGTGTTCAGTTTCTAAGCTTGCAGATATTTAAAGTAGAAAATTTTCTGTTATAGATCTGATTATAGATCTCAAAGATATGCTTAGAAGAAAATTTTGTTACTTGGGGTATAAAAACATGAAGATTACTGAAATATTCACCATTGAATAGAAGCTTATTCTATAGAGATTACAGCTTATTTATGTATGTATGCTCATGAATGTAATTCATACTGAAATATTCCAACACTAAAGTGCATTCTGTAGAATTTTCAATGGGTAAATGAATTAGCTTTCCATTACAGAAGTATGCATATTCCTTGAGTTTTTCTACCCACAGTGTTATGAGTTACAAAGTATTATGAGTAAGGACATTTTTATTGTTATGTAATATCACTGCTGCAATATGGGTCATTTCATAGTTCTATTTGAAGTTTTGAAAAAATGTGGTAGAAAGAAAAACATATGCATACTTTTGAATTGTTACATGACAAAATGTAGAAGGAATGAATGGTTTATGTGACTAGAATATTGTCTGGAAGACTATATGGATTTTTATTCTTCATGTAGAGATGAGATTAGAAAGACTGCTTCTGTCTGCATTTGAATTTTTATAAAAAGCACTTACAAATGAACACTTAAACAAGGAAATGTGACAGAGACAATCACTTTGTGCTTGTTTACATCCTTGCCTATCAACACCATGGGAACATTTGGTTGTGTTATCCAACTTTATATTCCTAGCAGTATGATGAGTGATTTTGTGAAGACCATTCAACATAGAAACTTTTGCATCAAAATTTTACAGTGGAGAAAACAGTGTTGATTACTTCAAGAAAGAAAGGAACAATGAAATTTCAGGTAGGAGCAAACATTGGTTAGTAAAACTAAGTTAAAATATTAGTATGCTAAAAATGCTATGAAAATGTTTATTTTTTGTTGGTTGTGGGGCTTGAACTCTGGTCCTGGGCACTGACCCTCAGCTCTTCAGCTCATGGTGAGTGCTCTACCACTTGAGCCATAGCACCACCTCCTGTTTTCTGGTGGTTCATTGGCAATAAGAGTCTCATGGACTTTCCTGCCCAGGCTGGCAGGAAATGTACTGATATTGCATTTGTTTAGCATTTGTGAGGCCCAGGATACATTTCCTTTGCACCATATATACTGTTTTTCAAAACCAGATTACAAAATAACCAAAAATGTAACAGTTATAAGCAAAGTCACATTTTGTGGTTTAATTATTTTGTTGGTCCATTATTATGCCTGAATAATCTAGGGATATCTGAAATTATTTGTATTTGGTTTACACCCTTCTCTTGTTATATTGTATTTTTTAGATGACCATTAGAAAGCCATATTTGAAGCTGCCTTGGGGGCAGCTGGTGAAGTCATCAGGAACACTCCTTTTGAGTACCTTAATAATTTACATGTCTTCACTATAAACCATAGGTAAGAAGTTTCTGGGGGTTGGAAGCATGGCTGGTTGTTAGAATGGTAGCCAATGAGCAAAAGTATCAAGAACAGGGCTCAAGTCCTGGTCCTGGGCCAAAAAGAAATTCTGTTGCTGATTTCAGGTCATACATTGACTGAATACATCAGTAAGAAGATTTTAACACTGGTGCAAACATTGACTTTGCCACTTTGGAACTTTCTAGCATACTGAAGAATTAAGTGATGGATTTTTTTTAAACATTCTGGGTGTAGTACCAAGGGCCTCAAATAAAGTAAAAAAATGTTTACCACTGAGGTACTTCCCTTGCCCTGAATTAACCTTTTGAAAATTCAGTTTACAAAAATAAGTAAGAGGGTTGGGAAGGTGTCTCAGTGGTAGAGTGCTTGTCTTGCATGCATGAGGCCCTCGGTTTGATTCCTTAGCACCACATAAGCAGAGAAAAAAAAGCCAGAAGTAGCGCTGTGGCTCATGTGGTGTAGAGTGCTAGCTTTGAGCTGAAGAGCTGAGGGACAGTGCCCAGGCCCAGAGTTCAAGCCCCATGACCGACAAAAAAAGTAGGTAAAAGGTAGATAAATGGGATGATCTTTTATTTAATTAAATTACTTATGATCAAATATGCTAGCATGCCTAATACAAAATAAAAAATACAAGTACCATAAAGGAGTTTTGATAGTTAAAAGTAGTGAGTGATGACAGGTAGTAATGTTGACTCAGCTACAGGATTGATTAAGGAAGAATTGTTTTTAACTGTCAACAGAAATTTCTAAAGATATTCAACATGGAGATCCACTTACCTGCTATATTTGCTCTTTCTTCTGTGAGGTATGTATTTCATCTTACAGTATTTCTTTTTCCTTGTTTGGAGATGAGTAAACATGTGTCATTATTATTGTTATTCCTAAGATTGACCTGCTATGGTTTCATGATCTGTTCAAATATTTTCCTTCAAGTGTTCCCTCACCAAAATTACTTTGGAATATTCCAATAATAGTAAGGACCATTGAGTGCCCATTTACTTGATTGTGCTTCTTGTCCTGTTTTAGTGTTATGCATATTTATGTATTTCTTTAAATGTATATTATACCTTGTTATATATTGTTTATATACATAGAGTTTTATATATGTATCATATATAGAGTGAGACAATAAACACTCAGCTAAGATAATCATTTTGTTATGTCAAAAGAATCTAGAATCAGGATTTCTGGTATTTTCTAGCATGTATTCAGTATTGGGAATTAAGATAAGTGAATTATGATTTATGATAATTGCAATTATGATAAGTATAATTATGATAATGATAAATTTGTTATATCAGTCTTTAAGGTTTCTACATTTTTATGTAGTTACTGTTTCTTATGAAATGTGTTAGTCCCTTTATTTATTTTTTTTGGTCGGTCATGGGGCTTGAACTCTGGGCCTGAGCGCTGTCCCTCAGCTCTTCAGCTCAAGGCGAGCGCTCTACCACTTGAGCTACAGCGCCACTTCCGGTTTTCTGGTGGTTTATTGGAGATAAGAGTCTCACGGACTCTCCTGCCCAGGCTGGCTTTGAACCACGATCCTCAGATCTCAGCCTCCTGAGTAGCTAGGATTACAGGCGTGAGCCACCAGCGCCCGGCTCCTTTATTTTTTTTTTTTATTGGAATGCGAATGCTTAACTTTTGGTTAAGGGAACTTATGTATGCTACATATAATCTCTGCATATACGAAGGATGTGGAAGAAGAGCAATGTGAGAATAATGGACAAATTATTCAATAGTAAATATTAGTCAGTAAAATTGTAAATTTAAGGCTAATACCTAGTACACTTATTGTTAGAAAATTTCAAAAGGCATTTTAAAAATAATAGAACAAAGATTGCACATTTTACTCATTGTTGATGACTTTTTTTCTATTTTCCTTACTCTGTCTCTTTAGGTGATTACTGGAAAGGATCTTATGCAATTTTTTCTACTAATTGCTTCACTAAAATAAAAAATGGTTTTCATAATGCTCAGGGAGTTCTCACTAAACATGTGTGGCAAAGGACGGTCCTTGCTGATCAGAAACCCTGGATTCAGAAAGCCCATTTTGGAAGGAAACCTAAAGGATACCTTTGAAGGAAATACTGTTAGTAATAATTGTTGATGAACTAAATCACAAGAGCTGGTTTATGGAGACATTGGTACACAGATGACTTTAATTGGTGGAATTAACAGTGCATCCTTAAGTATGAAGTGATAAAATGCATATATTTATATAAATATTATTGCTGAATGAATTTGAAACTGATTTTCATAATTATCTTTTTTTTTTGGGTGTGGTCGTGGGGCCTGAATTCTGGACCTGGGCACTGTCCCTCAGCTCTTCAGCTCAAGGCTAGCACTCTACCACTTGAACCACAGCACCACTTGCGGCTTTTTTCTTTTTGCTTATGTGGTGCTGAGGAATCGAACCCAGGGCCTCAGGCATGCAAGGCAAGCGCTCTACTGAGCCACCTTCCCAGCCCCATAATTATCTTTTGAAAGAGTTGAAGGACAGAATTTTTCAATTAGGCATTGTTAACTATGTAGTTCTTAAAAGATTTTTAAAATAATTTTTTTTTTTAGTCTTTTGTATGTGTTGGTCCTCTGGCTGGGGCTTGAACTCAGTGCTTGGGTGCTTTACCCTACCTCCACTTCCAGCTTTTTTTTTTTGTCGATTGTGGGGCTTGAAGTCGGCTTGAGCGCTGTCCCTGCACTCTTCAGCTCAAGATGAGCGCTGTACCGCTTGAGTCACTGTGCCACTTCCGGTTTTCTAGTGGTTTATTGGAGATAAGAGTCTCACGGACTTTGCTTCCCAGGGCTGGGATCTCAGCCTCCTGAATAGCTAGGATTACAGGCGTGAGCCACTAGCGCCTGGTTTTCACTTCCAGCTTTTTTTTTTTTGGTCGGTCATGGGGCTTGAACTCTGGGCCTGGGTGCTGTCCCTCAGCTCTTCAGCTCAAGGCGAGCGCTCTACCACTTGAGCTACAGCGCCACTTCCAGTTTTCAAGTGGTTTATTGGAGATAGGAGTCTCATGGTCTTTCCTGCCTGGACTGGCTTTGAACCGCGATTCTCAGATCTGAGCCTCCTGAGTAGCTAGGATTACAGGCGTGAGCCACCGTCGCCCGGCTACTTCCAGCTTTTTAGTGGCTAATTGGAGATACATTCTGACGGACTTTCCTGCCAGGGCTCTCCAGGTTGGCTTTGAACTGTGAACCTTAAATCTGTGCTTCTGGAGTTGCTAGAGGTACAGGTGTGAGCAACCAGCCTCTGGTCGCCGACTATATTTTTACTTTTTAAGTGATTTATTTTCAATTCACAGCATTATTTGCAACATACTTGCAAAAATCTAGAGTTAAATAAATTTTCTTATAGGTGTTAGATTAATTTTTTTTTAAATCTTGGGGCTTGAACTCAGGGCCTGGGCACTATACCTGATCTTTTTTTCCTCAAGGCTACCACTTTACCTCTTGAGCCACAGCACCACTTCTGACTTTTCTTTTTATGTGGTACTGAGGACTCGAACAAGGCTTCATTCAGTGCTGCCCAAATGCTCTACCACTAAGCCATGTCCCCAGCCCCTAGGATTAAGTTCTTTAGGTATTTAATCAGTTCCCACTTCTGAGTTGTTAACAGTATATTCGTAATTCCTGGTGACAGAATAGTACATAGATAGTGCTTTGTCTTGCTAAATTATCTTCATATTGCTTGTTACTCTTTTGTGTTACTTTATTTTCTAGTTTCATTTCCCTTGTAATTAGTATCTTTGTTACTTAGTCCCAAGAGGTTATTTGGGATTGTGTAATCATTTTGTTATGAATTGTAAATGAAATGTGTGTTGTTTTTTACTTTTGTTTTTTTGTTGCATGAAAATTATGTATTGAAGTACAACCATTTTCTGTGTTTTTTTTGAGTCTTGTGTTTTTCTTTTAAAAATGTGGTTACATCAATATCATACATCTCCCTACTTTTTAGATACTTTTATTATTTCAGTTATCACTGTGGTGTTAATACAATGAACATTCAAGTTATCCACCATGACTTGAACTATTGTGACTCCTTAGGGTCTAGCATACTTATGGAAAACTAACACCTATAACTGAATACATTTCTTTTTGCTTTCTACTGATACTTTTCTGATTATTTGTGCTTTCTTATACCATTGAGTTCTATCTCATTTCTCTTCTTTTTCAGAATGCTCCCTGTCTAATTCACATGTAATATTTCCATCCAGTTTAATAGATTAATTAGGAGTGATTACATTTTTTAATGTTGAGTCTTCTTATCCAGCTGCAAGGTATGTCTGTTTCTGATTAAATTATTATGTTGCATTATTACAAGGAATGTTAGTCATTGAGATCATTCACTCAAAATACTTTCATATCACACACAATCACAGTCAATTCAAGATGGAGGTCATATTTGTATGAATCTTTAATTTTTTTTATTGACTTTCTTTTGTGTGTGTGTATGTCTGTCCTGGGGCTTGAAATCAGGACCTGGGCACTATTCCTGAGCTTCTTTTGCTCAAGGCTACCACTTTACCTGAGCTCCATTTCTGGCTTCTTGGGTTACTTTAGTGGAAATAAGCATCTCAAAGACTTTCCAACCCAGGCTGGCTCCAAATCCCCAAATTTGACTCCTTACGTTGACTCTTCTGTTCTTTCAACATACCCATTAGCAGCTATTTTAAACTTCCTCACCTCTGAATATTGACTAATTTCTATTTTTTTAATTTTCCCAAGCCAGCTATAATCTTGCTGTTAGCGAAATAAGCTCCCTTCCCATAGCTTAGTCCATTCCTTCCCTTCTCTACAGTTTAGCATGCTTCCTTCCTAGGCAACACTAGGCCCATGTAGTAAAGGCAGTAAATAATCAACTTCCAACCCCCTTTACCTTGAGATGGTACTTCTCTGAGGCAACTTACACCATGTAAAGCAACAAGAGCCCCTGAGAGTGACCTTTAGGTCTGGGTAGTTGCAGAACCCCTTATCTACTATTTGGATAGCAGCCATAAATCCTAGTCCGCCATGATGAAGCCCCTGGACCACATATCCACACTAGGGTCTCCGCCTCCTAGCCTCTTCTAGCCTCTCCTAAACCTCCTAGGTCACCTCAGACAATAGTCAGTGCTTCTTCTTACTTCTCCCTTGTAAGAAGGAGTCTTGCCGGCCCCCTTTCCCAGCAATAAACCTTTCTTTGTTCTCTGTACCTGAATGTCTGCGTGGTTCTCTGGCAAAGTCTCTTGCATTTAATCTTCACCTGCCCATACTGGGGCAGTATGAAAGCTGCATATCTCCTTAGGTCCTTGATGATATTTAAGAGAGCAAGAGCCAAGACCTGGTGGCTCACTTCTGTACTCCTAGCTACTCAGGAGGCTGAGATCTGAGGGTTGTAGTTCAAAGACAGCCTGGGCAAGGAAAGTCGTGAGATTCTTATCTCCAATTAATCACCAGATAAACCTCGCGTGGCGCTGTGGCTCAAGTGGTAGAGCACTTCCCTTGAGCTGAAGAGCTGAGGGACAGTGCCCAGAGTTCAAGCCCCACAAGTGACAAAGAAAAAGAAAAAAGGGGAAAAAAGAAAGTAAGGTATGTGTCCTAGCAATTTTGGTTTCTCTTATCCTATCACATATAATCCCTTCACCTGCTATGGTAAGGTATATATGTATGTGTCCCAGAATTGGTTTTCATCTCCAATTTTTTTATTGCTAGGGGTGTGTGTGTGTGAGTGTGTGATTGTGATTGTACTTTTTTTTAAATTGTGGTCTTAGACTTGGCATGTTTCTTTTAAGAGTTTATGCTTTGTCTCTATATATGTATGCATATATGTATACCTTTTACTATTTAAAACTGTTGTACCTTTACTAGCTTAAGAGTTCTTTTTTCCTTCAAATTTACTTTATTGTTATTATTAAGGTGATATGCAGAGGGCATACATTTACATGCAGCAGATATTAAGTACATTCCCTTCATTCTCTCCTTTTCCCTACCTCCCATCTCTACCTATGAGTTGCATAGTTCATTTTCATCAATGTCTAGTGTGCTACTCTGCTGTATTTTTTTTTACCCCTTTCCCTTGAGTTCTGTGCTTTCCACCCACCCTCCCACGGATATGCACGTGAATGCACCACATTTATGGCAAAGAATACAGAATCATCAGAAAAAGGAAAAACAAATTTTAAAAGTTTTGTTTCCATATCTTAAAGGTATAAAAAATTCAGTGGTAAGCCGGGCACTGGTGGCTCACGCCTGTAATCCTAGCTACACAGGAGGCTGAGATCTGAGGATCTCGGTTTAAAGCCAGCCGGGCCGCAGAGACCGTGAGACTCCTATCTCCAATAAACCACCAGAAAACCGGAAGTAGCGCTGTAGCTCAAGTGGTAGAGCGCTCGCCTTGAGCTGAAGAGC